AGGACTCAAACAAATATATAGGTAATTGGTATCTACTTACTGTCTAGTGAACACTTAATAATTCAATAAGTTTTGTTGTTTTTTGTAGCTTTAATGTTAAAGGTTTAACCATTAATGTAACTAACTGTTTAAGAAATGAAATATCTCTGTACGAATAGTAAAAAATATTGTTGCGGATGATAAATGTTACATTTCCACGCATTGATTTGGGCTACTAGTGTATCTCTAATACGAAATAGACTGAGATGGGTCTATAATTAAAATATTCTCATATTAAAAATATTCTTGTGCAAATGTAATAGGAGCCCGATCAAAAGATCAGAGAAAAAAAAAGAAAGAAAGAGCAAAAACATTCATTTCCGTTGTAGTTTTTTCGTAATACATATTGACCAATAATTGCTTTACAAAGGAAAATATTGAAATTATCTGGGACTATTGTACGATCTTGTACTAGTCCCAGAAATTATTAAAGTAAAAAAAAATAAAAACAACATGTCTGAAATATGTAAGCTCGGGCTATTAACGCTTAGCCTTTTTGTGTCCTATTATTTCAAGTTCTAAGCATTATTGTTTTTAACGAATTAAAAGGAAGCTATAGTATACGTGCACGGATAAGCGCAAAATAAAGAGTAAATTTCACGATAAACTCAGAAGAATGTTTATGTTTGAATAATGCATTTCCGTTTTCATTTCCCACGAAAAACTGCAAATAATGACAATTCAAAATGAAATACGTGAAATAAAAAGCTTGCAAATTCTTTGCATGAAAATAACGAAACAGGGGCTTACACATTAAAATATACCGAGGAAATTATACAAAGCTGAGACTACTATAACACATAACTTATAGTAGTCTCAGTACAAAGATACAATACCATGCATACTTTCACCCGATAGTGAAAATTGTATCGTCTTAGTAACGTAATCTATTAAAACATAAATGAATGTTGAAATATAATAATTAAATATATGAATATAAAAAGTAATAAATCTTAAAATAAGACAGCTTACCGGCATCAATATATCTAAGTCCAAATACGAAAATTAAAACCGTCGCAAAGTAAGAAATTTGTCCCCCCTTATATCTGTGTCTTATCATTGTGTTCTATATTTTCTTCTGGAGTACCTTGTTTTCCACAAATAGATTTATAGGTAACTTTTGATGTCGTCACATTGGATTAATCATTAAGGACAATGGCTTGAAATTAAATTTGTGTAAATAGTATGGATGGATTAAGCTGTGACGATAATTGTTACACAAGAGCACAGGTACCCGCTAATGATGTATTAAAACACGTACCGACTTGAACGAAATTCATACTTTTACTTAATACATCAATTACAATAAACAACTAAAAGGGTTTTAGGTCAATAAAAACAATCATGTAATGACTTATAACAATATAATGTCATTATAATATTAACGTCATTATAACAGCTAACCTGTATATTCACACAATATTTTTTGAATATTAAATACCAGCCATTTTCAAAAGGGGGGTTTCAACCCAGGATAAAAGGGGGGGGTTGTTGTTCCAACCATATGTCCCCATTCAAAAGCATTGATCGTCAAAAAAAGGAGAGTCCGACCCCCAGGATCCACCACTGAAAACGCATTGTCTCATAATAAGCAGATATTAATATTTAATGGCTTGCGTGTAAAAGGTAGAACAAAAAGGTAGGCCTACGTGATAAACAGTATGTAATAAAAAAAAGAGACAAAACAAGGCTTTTTTTTATTTTTCAAATGATATTTATTACAACGCAGAAATTATAACGTGCATAATATAACTTGACAAACTAACTGGCAAATAATAAACAGAATTGGGCTGTTGTAGATAACAAACCCTATACATAGTAACTTCAAGTTTTGGCTGTTGGCAAAAAGACCTTTGAAAAAAACCCATCTTTACATATTTAAAATTCGAACCTTACATGTGAATAAACAGTAAAATTATTAGGCATTGAAATTGACTATCAGTTAAATTTTGATGTTCATATCAGCTTATTCTGCAGGAGAGCCTCACAGCAACTAAATGTTTTATACGTTTGGGCTCTGTTTTGGATAGACTTAGTAAACTTACTACTTTTCATACTTTTATTCTTAGTAATTTTAATTTTTGCCTTTTGGCATGGCATTTTTGCACTGAGAAAAATTCCAAAAAACTAGAAAAGGTACAGGAAAGAGCACTCCGTTTTGTATACAGGATTTTAGCAGCTCCTACGAGGACCTCTTACATAAAGCTAAGGTGCCCTCCTTGCAGATCAGACGGATAAGTACAATGGCTCTAGAAACTTTCAAGATTATGAACAATATAGCTCCTGTGTGCTTACAAAATTTGGTGAGTGTCAAAACATTTAAGTATTCGTTCAGGTATGTAAATATTCTGGATGTTCCACAGGTAAAGTCAACCCATTACGGTAAAAAATCTTTCAAATTTGCTGCCGCAACTTTATGAAACAGCCTTCCAAACCATTTCAGGACTGAAAATAGTTTTTCACATTTAAAAAGTCTTGTTCAGTCAAGGAACGGTTTGGAATGTCGCTGTTTGCAGATAACTCTTTAGATGTTTATTCTTTATGTTGCTTTTTGTTGCTTTGACCTAGTATTGATGTATTTCTTCACGAATTTTTATATATTTAAATTTTAATTTCTGACACATATTTCCAGAAATTGGGTAATCAATTTATGTTGAAAATATTCTGTTCTTTGAAATTTCTAGAACTCAAAGCATATACTATAGTTCTAAACTTTTTTATTTGATTTTTATAAAAGTAATCTAATTATTTAAATAGTTACCATATTTTTAATCTAAATTTTAAACTTTTATATAGGTAAACAATGTTTTACTTCATTCTAAATCTGTTGCTTAATTTTTATTGCATGCTGTGTGTGTGAGATTCAACTTTGTATTACAGGTTGTTTTATATCTTAGACTGTTTTTATGTTATGTATATGTTTTTATATTCGGTCAAAAGCTCCTTAGAGCTTATGTTGTATATTTAACTTATATAACAGTGGGAGTGGGGGATTGTATGCACATTTTCTTTTAAAGCAAATTGTTTGATTCTAAAGTTCTTGAAAAAAAAACCAATTTGTTACAGAAGTATGTTTTTCATTTCTAAAAAAAAATGTTTCAGAAGGTAAGTGTAAACTGAGACTACTATAACTATAGGTGTTATAGTAGTCTCAGGTGTAAACAAGGATTTGTATAGTGACTATACAAATCCTTGTTTCCAATGATAAAAGGGGAAATTAACATTGAGTTTTAAAACAGTCTTGTTCTTGTATGTTATTCAAAACAATTTTTTTTTATTAAGGTCGAGAAAGTATTTGTCCTAAGAACACAATAGTTTGTTTTTCATTGAAAACGGGGAAAAATGTGTGTCCGGAGAAAATAAATAATGTTTTTTTTTTTTTATATGGGATGTTTCTTAAGGGCATACGATACAGTTTTGATCCCATAATGAAATTTTGATGAAAATTTGCATGTAGGCTAATTTTTACCTGATTAAATCAAATATGAAATAAAAAATATACCATCATGTGCTACTTTTTGAGTAAATTGAGGTTGAAATTTCAGATATTTCCTCAAATTTCGGATTTGTGGACGTTTTTTTTTCTTTTCGATAGAAATACATAATTTTTTTGTTTTAAAAGATAAATGCAAGCTGTTTTTTGTTAAATCATTTGTAATTTCTGTTTTATATAAATGTTCTATAAATTTGTACATTTCATTTTTACAAATAACTCATATTAATCAAATGATTATGATTGTAGAAAAAAAACGTCATTTTTTGCTGTATATTTATCAAATTTAAAAAAAATGCACTATTGACTTTTTCATGAAAATTGGTAAACATAATCTTCATACGTAATCAAAACAAATGTCATTTTAAAAAAGAGGAGTCCATGAACTCGTTTTCAAGTTAAATCAGTTTGAATGATAAAAATCAGTCGAAAACTGCATCTTTTCCCGATAAGTCACAGTTTGACGTCGCGAAAATAACAATTTACGTTAGCAACGTCATTACCTCCCCTGTAACTGTATCGTATGCCCTTAAATGGGGAATGTTTCAAAACAAATTCGTTGATATCGAGTATATTCACAGTGAATATACTTAAAGTTTTTTTTTCTCAAAGATTATATGTTAGATCCTGACTTTTATGATCACTTTCTGTTACTTTATAGGACCAGAGACATAATAACGTGACATTGTATCACTGATATCTGGGAACAATATATATGTTCCTGCTGATATATATCTAATACATCTCTGATTCGAATCCTACGTCCTATTGTTTTATCAGATAAATATAAAACATATGTCTTTGGTTTCGTAAACTTATAAAAGGCATGTTCATCTAAGCCGATACATTGTATTGATCAGAAAAGAGGGTGGTAAAGGGTTATTTTCGTGCAACGTGATCGCCGTTTTTTATTTCACGTTCAACGTGTTTTTACTTTTTTATTTGACGTTCAGTCGTGCAAGACAGGTGCCTCGTTCAACGTGTTCTGCTTATTTAATTTTACGTGCATCGTGATTTTCAAATGATTATTTTGCGTGCTCGGTATTTTTCAAATAAAATTCAAACACTTGGCAGGGATCGTCAAGAAATACTTTTTTAAAAGCCGTAAACCATTTATATCATCAGAGACATATAATACATTGTATTATATGTCTCTGACATCATAAATGTGTATACTAAATCGGGAATAACAAGTAAAACAGAGAGTTTATATATACAAGAAGACAGTGACTCAGTCACAAAAGGTTCACATTGAAGTCTTTATTTTTCGTGCAACGTTCATGACAAAATTAATTCCCGTTCAACGTGAAATTATGTCTTATTTCACGTTTTTTCCGTGCAAGCACCCCCCCTTTACCACCCTCAGAAAAGTGTTCACGCACCGTACGCAACGTCACAACTAAAAACCGTATTTAGGACGTTTTCCCCGAAGAAGTTTCTAAATTTACTATTATAGTTTCCGGTAAAAATAAATAAACATTTAAAAATGTACCGAGCTTTGTACGACTATAATTCTACGAGGAAAGGATATTTGACTTTTGTTAAGGGGGATGACTTTACTCTGTTAAACAAGAAGCACGGTGATTGGGTATTGGCTCAAAATGGATTTGGGGAAGTTGGATATGTTCCGGCAAATTATATTAGTAAAGATGAGCATGTAAGTTGTAATGTAAGCATGTACAGCTGATGTATCATTGTATGCAAAGGACATACAGGGTATAATATTGTAACCCTTACGAGAGTCATATGAAATTTTGTACCGCTCTTTTTTACTTTGCGGTGACACAGCAGTATCATGACAGGTTCACATTAATGATTATCTCAGAAGCTCTCATTGATTCATTTGCAGTTGCTATAGCTTCAATACACCTTATCGCTATTTCTTCTTCTTCTTCCTCCAAATACTGCCCACATGCACATGATTAAAAACAGGTTAAAAAACAAATTGTTCTGTAGATTTAGTTCAAGGTTTTGGTCACTTGAGACTTGAATATCTCAAGAGACTTTGCTGTGGAGATATCTGGAGTTTGTTCCAATCCTTGACGGTGTTTATGAAGAAGGACCATTTCCTACAGCCTATTTATTCAAATCCAGGTTAAGTTCTAAAATTACACAACTTTTTCATCAAGTTGAAGCTATCTGGGGCCCTGTTTAAACAATGTATTATGCATAAAACTTTTCAAAGAGAAATGTATAAACCATCGTAAACACTTCGAACAAAGCATTTTAATTGTCCAGCCTGTGACTTCTGTCACAGAAAGCTTGACATAGGGATAGTGATCCGGCGGCGGAATTAACAAACTTTTTAAAAGCTTAATATTTCAGAAGGTAGGAGACCTGGATCCTTTATACTTTGTATATAGATGCCTTATGTTATGAAGTTTCCGTCTGTCATATGTCCATTGTCCTTGACCTCATTTTCATGGTTCAGTGACTACTTGAAAAAAAAAGTAAAGATTTTTAGTATTCTTAAAGGGAAAGTCCGCGATTTTTTACTTATCATCTAAATATGTTCATCTTAACATAAAAAACACATTCACAAAGTTTTAAATTTATATTCTTTCTAATAACGGAGAAAATCAAGTATTTGTAACTTTTTTGGTTGACCTACGTCACTGGGTTGTGACGTTTTAACCCGAGTTGTTGAATCATGGGAAAAAGTAAAATCTGTTAAAGTCTTAATTGCTTATCGAAATTTTACGTAATTAAAAGCGCACAGATGATCGTTGGTCGTAGTTAATAACCACAATATAAGAATGAATGAAATTGAATATGCGTGTACCGTTTTGTATTGATTGAATAAAACTTCCTATTTGAAATTAACTGAATATGAATATTTTCGAATTAATTTCATAAATTATTGAGATTTTTTCATAAAATATCTATAGAACATTTTTACTGATATTGAACTGAAAATATTTTAAGTTTTATTTACCGTTATAACTTTGATAACCATTTCAATGCAAAATATTTGTGAACAGAGTGTGTATATTATTTTGTAAAGTCATTGTTTATTTCTCGATTTGAGGAGAATTCGTTTGAACTTTACCTTGCAGCAATTTAGCCATAGGCGTACACAGGTGTGAATTCAAGCGTACACAGGTGTGAATATTGTCATTTTGAATGGATTAACAGAAAGAGTATAGCGTGTTTAATATACCCAGATGAAATACCCGATGACAATAGAGAAACAATAAATAAATTGTATAAATTAATTGAAAATTAACATTCAACTTTTTGATTCCGGAAGTGTTACAATATTGAAATGGAACAATTTTCGGTTACGTTCTATGCAATTAGCATAAAGTTAAGATATGAAGTTAAAAGAATAGTACTTTTAACCTTAAAAATTAAATGTTACATTTTCCATTTAATAATCATTGCACATCTGTTTAATTTACTTTACCGGAATTCTTTAACTTGTATTTAAATCTGGCGATGTTTAAATGCTAACAATCGTAAAACTATCGCAATTTTAAAGTTTTTAATTGAAAAAATACAACAGTACAACATGCATGATTTTTTTTAATTTTCTTATTAACATTTCATTCTTACATAATTAAATTCATTTGACAATCACTTAGACAAATTATTTGTGAAAAGAATACCAATTATCGTTTATTTCATTAATGAATATACATACATTATAAATCTAAGCTAATACATTAATTTGTTTGAGGATTTTTTTAGGATAGCCGTCATTAATCCAAATTAGTAATACAGTTGTTGTAATTAAAGGCATATCTTAGTAATGTATTACTGATATTGACGATTTTAGAACAGTTCGTCCCAACCTCGTTGTTCTTGAAACACTCTTTACTAGTATACTTGTAAGTTTCATGACGTATAAGCGCCATTGAGGATGAGCTCCAGAGATAGCAGACTAGTAGCGTATTTGTTTGTTGGGGCAGGAGAGGCCATGCAACCACTTGTACAGATAAACAAGCTTATGTTGTCAACACTATCAGAAAGAGTTCCCATCGTCGGATAGGGTATATGAAGGTTCCAAGAATGAACTATATTGACATGTCTGACTCTGAACAGTTAGTAAACGGACTTAACAATGATCTATAGACATCGACCGCTTGTTCTTTGATATTTGAAACTGCATGCATATATACGTTTATGAGAGAGATTATTTATCTTGTGTCTGACGAAAACTAAATGCCTGCATGGTTATATCTTGCCATACGTTTGTATTGGTTTGGTGGGTGTTCACTCAAAATCGTAATTCAAAAATTGTGTTTGTGAGATGTAGATTCACTTCAATACCGAATTTCGTCTATATATTTCACAAGTGTATACCACGGAGAAGATCTGAAGGTATATTACTCCCATTTTGTTTGGGTGTGAACCATCGATGTTTACAGCAATATTTAATGAATAAGATGATGATGGTAGAAAGAACTATGAGCGTCATGTGGCAAATATTACATGCATGTCGGACCATGAGTTGTCAATCTGTATGAAAAGATTTCCAATACAACCATATTGAGTAGGAATTTTTACATGCTATACTCTCGTACTAGTATTACAGGGTTCTTGTGTCGTTTAACTCAGACACACATCTTTTACTTTAAGATGTATGAAAGGTTCTAAATATATATATATATATATCTTAAATGTAACAATAATCAAACGCCTATAGGCAATCACTAAAATGGTATGAAGTTTTTATACAGATTTATTCTAATTTACACAATCATTAAAAAACTAAATAAATTTTAACAAAGTAACACCGTGACACGACGATATAACAAATGGGATACTAATTATTTTTAACCATGCTATGCAGAAACTTAACACATCAAGCAGGAACATATATTAATAAACTGTTCCCAGCATCAAGTTAGTGCACGTGAATACCAATTAGGAACACGATGAACATGTGATTTTGTATAACTAAAAATAGGAAAGCGAGCACTAACTTTTGTCAAGCAAACATTTTTTTCACTATGCCTCTCTTTATCTCCGCTCCTTTACAATAACTTTTTCGCTTTTCGTCGATCATTCTATATATTGTTCTCTATTCGTTTTTTTTTTCACTATGCCACTCTATCTCCGCTCCTTTTTCCCCTGTCGTTCTAATCCTTATAGAAGATAGGGACATTAGACATAGAAGGGGCTCTCTTATCTTCAATGAATTAATATTGATAGTGACTATAAGTGCTGCATTACTTTATATATCTGCATGTTTGCCAATCGACAAAAGCTTGTATTTGCGTGGAGAATTTTTTTTCTTCAAAAATATGGTCCAGAATCATGTTTATAATTTTTTTTAAACTTAATATCAGCAAAAATAGTGGATAATATTATTATCAGAACATCATTCATTAAAAGGTGGAATTATAATTTCAAACACACACAAGATAAACAACGTTAGACACAAATATATGGTTCAATAATTGTTACCTGTGCACACCGGGTACCTCAATAAAGAGGCCATGCATAAACCTGTATTATATAATTGTGTAATACGATTTTTTAGTTGACAGGATGTCACTGGAATACCCAGGGACGTGTATCTAATATACGTCCTTGGAATACCTAACTGAATGTGTCGCTCTGACACGACATCTATCAATAATTCTGACATACCTATTATCAATTCGGGAGGAAGCCAAAATAAATATATAATAAGATAACGTAAATAAAATTTAAAAAGAAAAAAAAACCTATAAATTTTTCACCGAACATACCAGATAGAGTCACACATTTTACTGTAAAGCTAAGTGTCTTTATAAGTGACCGTTCCGAATTGATCTCGTATCAATTTGATATAATTTAAAGATTAGTTAAAAAAATCCACTTTTAATAAAAAAAATTGAGATGTCCGATATTTCGATATTTACATATCTTTAACCTGGGAATATTATACTATATCAACATATTATGTCCCAGCTAAAACCTCTTCCTAACATTGCTCCTTGTCAATAGCCGGTAAATATTATAATTAAAATTTTTTATTTTATATCGTATATCTTTATTAATTGAAAAATTATCTTGTCTAAATACGGAAACTGTTGTTTATACAAATCAATGCACTTTATATAAAAGAGGCATACTAATGAATCTTCTGTAAATCAGTGATTGTTACGAGAACACTGCATTTGTCTTTCTTATAATTGAAACTGTTCTTCCTCATCAAATCTATATTTTTTTTATTCAACGAGATCTTATCATATAAGGATTTGATAACTTTAGCTATCAGAACCGCTAGGTTAATTTGTTATTAAAAAGGATAATTACCATCGAATCTCCCTCGAAACAATATTGTTCAAAATGGTCTTCACACACCAACTTGTGCTTGCTATAGATGCAACTATTTGCTGTTAGTTTAAAGTTGTACAACCATGTCTGATACAATTCTTTCTTTTTTTGTGTGATTGGGAAAACTATGTAGACTTTTGTCATAAGCGTGTCTGACAGAACAACCGTACGCGTGACAAGACATTTTGACACTGAATAACCGTCTACGGTAATCCCCAATTGATGATGGGAGTTTTTAACGCACGGTCGGTAAATCCCCGATTCTTTTTGTTCTTTGTGGTTTATAGATATCACGTGACTTTTTAGATCGAACATGCCGACAAGATGGCGATATGTCGAGAACTGATAGTGAATTTCAAAAATCGATTTTGATCTCTTTACATAGAG